TTTTTTTTTTATCTTAAACACCTACCTATCTCACCACAACTCCCTCCCCTGTTATCTCTTCAACCCCTCCAATCCATAAGAAAACCCTCCTCAATTTTCCTCCCTCAAGTCCCATGCATTCCTTTGTTTCTTGCAAAAAACCATTTTCCAATTTCCCCTCCCCTGTCCATCTCCTCCAATCTATAAAAAACCGTTCCGTCCCAATCTCCTAATCCTTAAGGTTCTTGAATCTTTTGGCTACCGATCTGTGAGCATAAGAGGAAGAAGAGGAAGCAGGACTATGGCGCCCCCCATCTCCCTTCTCGCGTTTGTCGCCGCCAATATCATGATCAGTAGTGAGCACCGCCGCCGCCGTTGTCTCTCATCTCCCTTCTCTTGTCGGGATCGTTGCGATGGAGATCCGCAACTGCTAGCGCATTCGCCCTCGACTCACCTGCATCATCTCTCTCTGTTTCTTTTGTTTCACTAGAAAGAAGTGGAAGCACAGCGGCCGAGGAGAGGAGGAAGGGATTGGTTTGTGGAGGTTGGACCTGGGGGCGCACGATTAGGTTTTGGGCCTTGGCGGACAAGCGGAAGAAGGGATTCTAGATTGGGCTGGGCTATGTTGAGCTGTATCCGATCTCTTATCCGGTTTTTGGTTAAAACCGGGTAAGACCGACTCGGACTATGACAGTTTTTGGCCCCTAAATTCGGACTGAAGAATGGATTGGTTACATTCTTATATGATCTTGGTCCAGTCCCAGTCTAGATTTGCGTTCCAGTCTCTGGTCAAACCATAAAACCCGGACCGAAATAGCCACCCCTAGCTGGCACTATCATCAGCAGTAGTGGTCGGACCATCGTCACAACATTGGACCCAGGCATCCCCGCTAGGACCGGGCAGGTATGGGCACTAGAGTTCTCCATATGATTTTGATGACGATCTGGTATTTAGGGCCAAGCCTTCGGTCATAGAGTTTCCTATATTTGATGGTCATGGTGATGTGGGATTGTGGTTATATGCAGCGGAGAGGTGGTTTAGGAATTACCCGATCCGAGAGGAGATAAAGGCACATATGGTGTCCTTCTACCTAGAGGGAGATGCCCTACAGTTGTGGGAATGGACTGAGAGAGCCTATGCGGCTGCAAGTGAGTTCATCTCTTGGGACAGGTTCCAATATGAGTTGCGGTATCAGTTCGGTAGACCTAAAGGGTGGGCACCGGTACAACTAGCCAAGCTGAAGCAGACAGGTTTGATGGCAAGTATCGGCTGAGTTCTTAAAGTTGGAGAATTAGTGCAAGAAAATGACAGGGGAGACGATGGTGGGACTGTGCATGGCGGGGCTGCGTCCCGAATTAGAAGTAGTAGTGAAGGTTTTTTAGCTTGATTCTCTTCAAGTTGCTTTCAAACTTGCAGGTCACAAGGAGAAAGAGTTGGCTAGTTGGAAGAACTCCGTTGGTCACTTTCAAAAGGCGACCAACGAGGCATGGAGGGGCGCAAGCTCTGGTACGAGTCAGGGAACCGCAACCTCATCACCACCATTGGGAGCTGCAAGCCAGGTGGCCATACCTGGAAGGCGGATTCTGCCCGATTGCCACCAAAGGGGTTCGTCAAGCTGACTCTGACAGAGATGGAGAATAAGCGCAGTGATGGTTGTTGTTACAATAGTGATGAGAGGTATACAGTGGGTCACCAGTGCGCAAAGGGACACCTAATGCTACTGGTAGGAAAGTAGGAGGATGAAAGTGAAGAAATTGCGGCTAATGAAGCAAAGGTGGAAGGGCGAGAGAAGAAAGATGGCCAACCTTGAGGGCAATGTTGGTCTCAAGGGGGATTGAATTTTAGAAACTAGTTACTTTGGACTTATTTTTTGCTATGTTATTATTTAGAATATTTGGATGTTAGGTGGGTGTTTTAAGAACAATTGAGGGCTATTTGTTCAGGTTTATTATTCAGGTAGTTAAAGGGAATTAGTCGGCTTATATATTCTGTGTTAGGAGAGAATTAGAAGGCAAGCAATAACACAAGAATTATTCCACACAATTAGTCTCTCTGTTACCATCATCGAACCAAAAATTTCTCTCTTCTCTAGCCTAATTGTCATCGGCCTCCCTCCTCCCGGAACCAACCTCTATTTCTTTCTCAACCCAGATTCTCCTATTCTTCCTCATAAATCCCTAATTCTCTTCCCAAATCTATGAACGCTAATCTCACACCTAGATCCCTGATTCTTTTACGAGTGATTCAAAATGGTCTCGACATAGCCGAGCTGGAGATTGAGTGCGAGAACCTTCCGGACTATCTGAAAGAGGAAGAGAAACGATATCACAAAGAGTAAGAGGGAGACAAAGTTATTTTTTGTGTATCTTATTTAAGTGGATACTCGATTGAGCACCGGAGACAAGAAAGAGAGCAAGACATCTTAAAAGTTATGCGCAATCAAAAAAAACTTTACGACGTTCGGATTGAGGAGCTAAAAGTTACGGCCTTTCAAAGTTTGCCAAAATCGGAAAATTGCTCGTTCGGAGTAACAAATGACATTTTTTTTAGATTAAGTCTTGTTGCAGATTGAAAGATCTAGAAAAGTTATATGGAATAAAAAAAATTCGCTACAATCGGATAACCGAGCGCAAAGTTACGTTTGTTTGAAGTTTCAGTGTTACGTCAGGCATTCACCGCGGCTGTCAACTGCGATGATGCATTCACCGCGGCTGTCAACTGCGATGATGCATTCACCGCTTTGGTCTGCCGCGGTGATTGCATTCACTGCGGTTGACAATAGCAGTGATTCCCAAACATGTGTATTTTGAGAATTTTTTTTCTAATGTGTGTATTTTGGTAATTTTTTTAAAAAAAACATATGTATTTTGGGATTTCATCCGTGTTAAGGGGTGGTATTTTTGGTCCTGTATTTTTTCCTCGGAAATTTGTAGAATCAATAGATCATGATGAAATCGTTTCTTATGATCAAATAGTTTAAAAAACGACTTAAAAATGAAGTTGTTACCATATGATTTGAAGTTGATAACGAGAGGTATGTAATTTTTTTTTCTGCAAAAAGTATTGCTACCATTTTTCTATTCGTTCATGCGTTGATCAATTCTACTATAGTTTAATAACTCTGTAAGTTCTGGTTATAATCATTTTATTTTTTTTCCTATATGATGTGAGTTATACCCACTTATGCCCCAATTTGTGCATATAAATTCATTTAAAAAAATTTGTTCATTAGAACTTACAGAGTGTCTCCTTGGGATTTTGGAGAGGATGGGGTTTAACTCTACTTGGAGACTTTGGATTCAGGAGTGCCTCCGTTCAGTTTCATTCTTAGTACTCATGAATGGCACACCTTCTGGTTTCTTTACTCTCACAAGGGGATTCCGTCAAGGGGATCCGTTATCCCCATTACTATTCATGATTTGTACGAGGGATTTGCGGCCCTCCTGCGAAAAGCCATTGCAGATAGGAAGCTGGAGGGGGTTAAAGTTGCCCCTAGGGCTCCTCGGATCTCGCACTTGTTTTTTGTAGAGACTCGTATCTATTCCTGATAGACCATTGATTACACACGTTTTTACCCTATCCTTGAGCCGTTTGAGATGTCGATTCTCGCGTTTTAGGCCGATTTCACGCTAGGTTGTTCTTGTTTGTGACATTTCAGGTCCTAGTACGTGAATGAAGGTTTAGGAACGAGTTTGAGGTCGATTGGACGAAGGTTGGACGTTTGGAGAGAAGCTAGCCACACGGGCATGCCTAAAAGCCACACGGCCGTGTAGGGGACCCCTTGTGGTCGTGTGGAAATTCCAGGGAACTCACACGGGCACCCTGGAAGTCCACAACTTCAGTTCATTATCTATCAAACTAGATTAAGATGAAAGAACTACGTCGCCTACACCCTACCCATAATCAATTGTGTTGCTCTAATTGGTGAACTCCAGCTCGACGCTCTTTGAATTCAAGCCGAAAATGTTGAGTTTTGTGAAGTCAAGAGTCAAACTCTGCGACTGCGACTGCATGAAGCTTGAAGCCACCACCGACGGGAAGCTATGGTCGTCGATCTTCCTGTCCCTACCGACGGCTTCTGCCGGAAAGCCGCCTCTCTTGTCGGCGCCCTGCAGCAAGAAGCGGTGCCGCGAGCATGATCACTCCCATGATCTGTCCGCGAAATTCTCTGGCTCCACCACCACCAGCGGCAAGTGGCCATTGCTCCAAGAGACGGTAAGGTTTTGTTTCTCTGCTACACGCCCCCTCAGTTTTCAATCCATTAATCAATTGTTGGTTGCATTAGGAAAGTAATTAGATCATTAATTACCGCAATTAAGCGAGGGTCCGAATCAATTAAACAGAATTTGCATATTAGTTAATCTTGGGTTTGAATTTGGGTAGATCAGATCATGGGTTAATGGTTCGGGTGACATTGGTTAGGCTGTTATGATGTGGCAGGTTTTTTTATGACGTAGCAGGATTGGATTATATTTTATTTTGTCAAAAATAGGTGACTAAGTGAGCATGTTAGCCACGTCAGCAAATAACTGACTGTGTTAACATAAACTAACGGAAGGTAACTGAGAGTGACCAAACTTGAACCATTTAACTAATTTGAGTGACCAAGATTGTATTTAAATATTTCTAGTGACCAAACATGTACGTTTTTTGTAATCTCAGTGACCAACCATGCAATTAACCCTTTATGTTTAACTTGCATGAATTATCTTTTTGCCTGATAATTTCAACAATGTCTAAACCTCTGCCTCACATTTAGGAAATGTAGCAAAATAAAAGTTCTAATAATTTAGCTCCAATTAGAGCAACACAAATTTTGGCAAAAAGCAATTAATCAACAAATCCATCCAATTTTTTTTCTACTTCAATTCTCTTTGACCTCTTCCATTTCCTAATTTCCACCGAACACCTCACAATTCCTTCAACTAACTTTAACTAACTTTCGAAACCATCAAATAATTTTCCCTCCACAAAAGGGAAAAAAGTATAAGTTAATCTCTTTTTCTCCTAATCTCCAACTCAAACGAGGTTTTTTTAGGCTTTGAAGAGGGAGAGGCCAAACCAAGGCTTTTCAACAACAACAAAAAAAAAATAATAAAGAACCCTCTTCCTTGAAAGCTCATCATCTCCTTTTGTAACCCTAAATAAACAAAACAAAACAAAACAAAAAAAAAACTTACCTTACTGATCAATCAAGGAAGAGGAAAAATTTACAAAAAGAATTCATACATTTAAAGACAAATACCAAAACGGCCCCTTACATATTTTCCCTAATAAGGGGTTCAAAAGACTAATAGAAGGGAGAAAAAGACATAAACGTGTGTGTATTAAGAGACAAAAGTCAGAGAAAAAAAAAAAGTAGAACTAGCTAGGATGGCGGATGACGGGGGAAAGAAGCGGATTGTGATTATAGGAGTGTCATCCATCCTTCTGGTGGCAATGGTCGTCGCCGTCACCGTCGGCGTCGGAAAAGACAACGAAGGTGGCGATAGCGAGGAGATCGGGGATGGCGGCGACAGTAACACCGCCGAGAGCATAGCCTCCTCGAAGAAAGCAATCACCGCCATCTGCCAGCCGGCCGATTACAAACAGTCATGCGAGCAGAGCCTTGAGAAATCGGCCGGGAACGCCACCGACCCCAAGGAGATTGTCATGGTCGCTTTCACCATTGCGCAGAAGAGCATCAACGAAGCGATGAAGAAATCGGACACGCTCAAGGAGCTGGACGGAGATCCCAGGACTCACGAGGCTCTCGTCACATGCAAAGAGCTCATGAACATGTCCATTTCCGAGCTTGAGGATTGTCTCGCCAAGGTAGGTGCAGTTAACATCCTCATATATATATATACTTTTAAAAAGTTAACGATTGGATTTAAAAGATTAATGTGATTTCGTAGAAAAAATCGTCAATCATGGTTGAACCGAGATTTAGATGACCTGACATCGATAAATAGGAGGGGAAATGTCAGTTTTGACCTTACTTTATATTTCTAGGTCTCATCAAAGTGAAATTATTATAATTATTTGGCAATACAAAAGAATAAAAAAAACTCTAAAGTGAAATTATTAGAGATATTTTAGATATTTGGGTCGCCCAAGCCAAAGTTCGGTCTTGGTTAACGATTTTTGGATGAAAATTTTAGCAAAAGGGCATGTTTGATAAGTTTTCCAAAGTACAGGGGCATGTTTGATGTAAAAAATAGTAGATGTGCATATTTGTTAAAACGTCATAGTAGAGGGGCATATTATTCTTATTGTCCAACATATTTTTCAAAATTACTCTGAAAGTGCGTCATTTGATCTGACGTGAAACTTTTTTATTAAATTTGATGAAGATGACAGAGAACTTCGATTTCAACAGAATAGATGACTTTATGGCAGATCTTACCACGTGGCTTAGTGCGGCGATGACATATCAAGAAACATGTTTGGATGGATTTGTAAATGTGAGCTCGGTTGCAGGAGCCAAGATGAAGGATTTCATGAACAAATCGATGGAACTAACCACCAACGGTCTCGACATTGTCACTGGGCTCAACTCCCTCTTCTCTTCCTTCCAACCAGACCAGGCCGGCCCAGGACGCCGCCTCCTGAATGCGGACGGAAGTGTCATGACGCTCCCTGTCCTCGGACACGGAAACCACCCGTTCCCCAACTGGGTTCCTGATAGGTTCAGAAGATTGCTCGAGGACTCCGACGATGACACAAACAATAAAGAAAAAGATAAGGATGGTAAGGAAGACGGTCACAAGGAAGATTCTGACGACGAGACTGAAAAGGAGAAGAACAAGGAGAAGGACACTGATGGTCATAAAGAAGACTCGGATGATTCAACCGATCAAGAGGAAAAGGAAGAAGCGTCAAGGGGTAAAGTGGACTTCTCCAAGAACCCTGCAGATATCGCCGATGTCGTGGTGGCTGAAGATGGAAGCGGTGACAGTAAGTCCATCAATGAAGGTTTGAAGCTCTTGGAGAAGGCAAAGAAGAAGAAGAAGGAGGACGAGGTCGTTGTGCTCTACGTTAAGGCCGGTACTTATAAGGAATATGTTGAGGTGACTAAGAATCTCGACAACATGGCCATGATTGGAGATGGTGCAGATAAAACTGTCATCACCGGCGATAAAAACTTCATCGATGGCGTCAGTACTTACCACACCTCCACCGTCGGTAAGTTCATAAAAAAACATCTAAATTGGCCTACTCAAAAGTTTTTACTGCAGTGTTATTAAAGCCGAGCCAAGCCGCTTGGCCCGACCGGTAAAACTGCCATCCAGTCACAAAACTGGTTCGGAACAGTCTAAAAGTCACTCCGGTTTTATGTAGTGGTTGACGAGCGGCCGAAGCGCGGTTAATCGCTCAAGCCGCTCATCCGATTTTTTACCATTCAGCGGTTAAATTTAGTTAAAAAATTGCGAAAAATTAATAATTGAAATAAACCAAAAAACGTCGGGCGGCTCTCGAACTGAATCCTTATTTCCATTTCACAATTTCGAAGGAAAGAGAAGAGCTCTGATTAAGAAATGTCTACTATTTATACCAATAACGTTTATTAGGTACCGGATCTCTAACGGTTTTCAAACGGTCTAATTTCAGTTGGACCACTAAAGAGCGAGCCGTTTGCATTACCGGGTCATATTGCGGTTCGGTTCTGACAACATTGGTTTTTAGGGATTTATTTCTTTCTCACTCTTGTTTTCTTTCTCCCGTTTGCTCCACCAGCCATCACAGCCGACTTCTTCTTCGCCAAGAACATCCGAATCGTGAACAGTGCAGGGCCAGAGAAGCACCAGGCTGTCGCCCTCCGGGTCTCCGCCGACTTTGCCATTTTCTACAATTGTACATTCGACGGCTATCAAGACACGCTGTACACCCACACCAAGCGCCAATTCTACCGTGACTGCACAATCTCCGGCACAATCGACTACATCTTCGGCGACGCTGCCGTCGTGTTTCAGAATTGCCTCTTCTTGGTCCGAAAGCCCATGGAGAATCAACAGTGCATCGTCACGGCCCAAGGCCGGAAGCAGCGCCACCAGCCCACGGCCATCATCATCCAGAATGGAACAATCACGGCCGCCCCAGAAATGGAGGCCGACAGGATGAAGTACAAGACATATTTGGGCCGGCCCTGGAAGAATTTCTCGAGGACAATAATTATGGAGAGTTATTTAGGTGATCTGATTGACCCCGAAGGCTGGATGCCGTGGATGGGCACCGTTGGTACCAAGACTTGCTGGTACGGCGAGTTTGGGAACTACGGGCCCGGCGCCGATCAAAGTAAGAGGGTGACGTGGAATGGGATTAAGAAGATTACCCCGCAGCATGCGGTGGATTTCACCCCCGGTCGGTTCCTTCGGGCTAACGAGTGGGTTAAGCCGACGGGGATTCCGTATGTTCCATATATGGTGAAGCCGTCGACGACGCGGCGGGTTGACGAAGAGGTGGTTTTTGAGTAAAATAAATAAAAGAAAAAGGGTGTTGCCAGTTGTGAACTAGTTTGACAAACATTTGGGAACATATTGGAAGTAACTGTGTTTTTAATTACCTTGTAATTGTTTGATGTAATTTAAAGTGTTTCTAATTTTTTTTTTCAATTTGATGTGATTGGATACTTAACTGACATTTTTTTTAATTTTATGCTTCCTATGATCGTTAAATGACGATCCATTTTAATTTAACTTCACGATGTTTCATTCCTGTAAAAAGTTTTTATCTGGAAAATTAACTTGTGTGTGTGAGAATTTTCAATTGATGTTTTCATCATGTTATATTTCTTTGATGGTTGAATGACATCTACTTCTTGTATTACCAAGAACTCAAAAGTATCAAGTCTAGACATCAATTATCAAACAAAAACCTAAGTCGAAAAATCAAAACTCCCAATCCTGCACGAAACAGATTATTTAAGAGTCTTCATGACTACCAGATGGGACGCTGATTATTTTGTCTGCTAACGAACTCCACCTGTCACTTTGTTATACCATTGACGACAATGTAGTCAAATTCGTGAATTTAAGTAAAATTGAAAACTGAGGTGAAATCGGAATCGTAGATTACAATCGTAAAATCGTAAGATTTTTTTTTTGGTGAGAAAAAATCGTAAGATTTCAAGGTTCATATAGAATTTAACACTAAAATCACTATATAATATCAACCATTCATATCTCGACCAATACTCAAACACAAATAAATTATTCTTGTTAATAACTAAGAGTGAACACCACATCAAATTGTTATGATCAACATCAAAATATATGTTTTACAAGGGTGACATCAATTTAATTATTAAATGACTACCAAGATAAGTATTTAATATTTGAACATAAACACAGACATACACAAGCAACCAAAAGTCTTCATTCTAAATACACTATCACTAGTTGAAGCCCAACAATGCCAATACTTGTTGTTTAAAATCATTAGGCACACTTACAGAATCCTAAATTCTCCTTTATTCCTGCAAGATGATGTTTAAATCGAAATATACCACAAATGAATATCTTGGAGCAAAAAATTACATTTGAACTTCTTTGCATCACCATCTATATCTATGCCATATGGACTTATGAAGACCGAGGAGGGGAATGCAAAGTTTGAGTTGATGGCTTCGGACTTGGGATTGGATATGAAGATTTGGTTGAAACTAAAGTGAGAAGTAGAGTAACAAAGGGAAGAAAGCTAAACGAAAAGGTGTCTACCACTAAAATTCACCTTGTACAACATCGATTAAATACAAGAGATTAAATGGCTTTATAAGGCCAACTTAATTATAACAATTAAAATCAATTACGATGGCCACAAGGATTCGATTTTTGGGCCCATGGCACCCATGCCAAACCCACTCTGCGCACCACCCCTGCCATAAATTCCAAAATCCAGGAGGTACCAAGAGGGGTGGCCACCATCATACCACCCCCAGGACATGGCAAGGGGGCGGAGGTGGGCATCATACCTCCACCCCTGGGAGGTACCAGTCCGCCCCCAGGAGGTACCAGTCCGCCCCCAGGAGGTACCAAGAGGGGTGGCCACCATCATACCACCCCCGAGGACATGGCAAGGGGGTGGGCATCATAGCTCCACCCCCATGAGGTACCAGTCCGCCCCCAGGAGGTACCAAAAGGGTGGCCACCATCATACCACCCCCCAAGGACATGGAAAGGCTGGTGGACATCATACCTCCACCCCCTGGAGGTACCTGTCCGCCCCCAGGAGGTACCAAGAGGGGTGGCCACCATCATACCACCCCCGAGGACATGGCAAGGGGGTGGACATCTAAATGCACCCCCAAGACGTGGCAAGGGGGGTGCACATCATATTGCCACCATCATGACATGGTGAGGGGGATGATGGTTGAATTTGGCTAAGGCAAGGAGTATGGGAGCCACCCCCCAGGACTTGGTAAGGGGGTGAGCATCATACCACCACCCTCAAGATGTACCAAGGGGGGTGGGTACCCGACCACTACCCCCATGGCGCCCTTGTGAGACGAGAAGAGGTAAAATGTGGCTAAGTATGGAATATGATGAGGGTGGCAATGAGCACCCCCATGAGGTGGTCCCCACCCCCATGGTATGATCAGTGGGTGGGGGGTCACCAACGCCAGCTCCCATGAGGATGATATAGTGGTGGGGTGATCTATATGACCCCATGGGGGATGCTGGTGAGGGGGTCACCAACGTACACCCACATGGTATGGCCAAGGCAAGGGGGTCATGTGAGCACGTGGTCTCTTTACTCTACTAATGGTGAAGTATTTTTTTTTCCATTTTTAATTCATGTGATTCAAATACTCGCCCATATGTGGTACGTGGTATTCCTTCATTCCTTAGCCATTTTTACTCTATGGATAAGCAAAACTACGGAGGAGATGCCAAGAGCAGAGGTTGAGGTCTTAAGAAGAGAGGGTCAAGACTGAAATGGATCCCAATTCCAACATCAGGGTAACTGTCATAGCAGTTGAGAGGGTAACCGTCATTCCACGACAACAGAGTAGTTTCTTGGGGCAGTTACTTCTGATGGCTATAAATAGGAGGTGAAGATGACAGAGAAGGGTTCGCAAAAATCACAACTCGACACCACTTGTCAAGTTTTATCTTTTTCTCTTTTCCTCTGCAGATTTTAGCCATAGTTGTAGTTTTTGGAGCTCTCACTAAACCTCAATCGGAGTAGGGCTAATTTAATGTAGATTTGCCTCGCAGTTCATCAAAACATTGAACACCCTTGTTTGAACTTTGTTCAAAGAGGTGTGAACTGTGTTGTTTGATTGTTTGTTTGGAAGTCAAAGGTGCAAAATCCAATTCTGTTCATCTAGATTTTCTCGCCGGGAAAACAAATTGGCAAACCTGGTGGGACTTTGTGTTTGATTTGACGGCTCCAAGACAGAGACAACAAGAAGGTTATCTCTTACCTGGGCTTGTGAAGAAGCATGTGGCTAAGTTTGAATTTGGCCAAGAGATGAAGGATGTTGCCAGAAACAATGGTATGGTGGAGACTTCGTCACCGGCGGCACCAAGTGTTGATATAACCACCAACATCAAGTTAATTCACAAGATATTGGAGGAAGATCGCAAGATGATGGTGGAGAATCGTCAAGCCTTGGAGGAGAACCGCAAGATTATGGCGGAGAACCGTCAAGCCATGGAGGAGAACCGCATGTTGAGGGTGGAGAACGTCCAAGCCATGGAGGAACATCGTTATTCCTTGGAGGGATGCCTAGTCGGCCTTCATCGTGGTGCCCAATAAGTAAGCCTCCGCCTAGCATCTCTCACTTCTCATCTAGATAATCGTGTAAGTCAACTTATAGAGTTGGTTAACAAAAATAATGATGATTTCAATGATTTGAAACACCTTTTGATAAAGCAAGTGGTTCAATCAAGAGATTTGCCACTAGATGGTACAAACTCTTCTGCTAATGACCAGAATGGCCAACTATGGCAGAATAGCTTGTCACCGCCAGTGGCAAGCAAACCACTCCCTCAATGTGATAGTTGTGGTGAGAGGTCCACCTCCACTCTGAACACCAGTCATGGGGTCTTGCATGTACAAGGTGATGTTCAACCGCTTGTTCTCGAGACAAGATCAGATGAGACACTTGTCAATGGACGAGATGGTGAAGATCCATTCAACGTGGAACAAGTACCACCATATGCTTGCCCACTCCCGAAGCCGCCCCTATTGAGTAGACAAAGAGGCGATTCTGATGGACTCAAAACACCAAGAGCTCAGCAAGGGGGGCATGAAAGTCTAACTTCCCACAAGGTGAAGCCTAGAAGTCCATCTAGGGGGCATGTGGTGTCTAAGAGACCACATCAATCACAAGCAACACATGCTTGTGCTAAGCATGCTAATTTGGATAAGTCTAGACATGGGGGCATGTCAGTGTCACCCATCATGAAGTATGAAGTAGGGGGCATGTCTTGGAATACACAACAGGTCGAAGACACTCATGGCTTTTGTAAGTGTAAAACTATGGTTAATTCTGGACAAGAGGATATGCAACCAATCACAAACAGTGAATATGAGGTCAAGTCCAACAAGAAAAGACGTAGGAAAGCCAAAAAGAGTTCTCGTAGTGTTGAAAATTTAGCTACGGATGGGCAAGGAGGCATGTCACCCACCATGAATAATGGAGTAGGGGGCATGTCCAAGAAGCTAAAAGAATTCCAACCTACACATGCTTGTGATAAGTACACAAGTTTGGCTAAGTACGGACAGGGGGAAAGTCCATGGCCATGAGTAATAGGTACATGTCACCAACCACGAGGGGTGGAGAAGGGGGTATGTATAAGAAGTCACAATACATACAAATCAAACATGACTGCACAACGAACCAAGGGTGGTTGTGTGCTAAGAGTAGATGCCAACAAGGTTCAGATGTTGAAAGACATAGTCAAGTAGGCCACATGGGTGGTCACCGACTTGTCAAGTCTAGGCATGATATACAACAACATGAGGAAAGTAAGCATGTCTCAACCATGAGGAAACCAAGGCAGAGGAAAACCCATGGTCGTATTGACATGTCAAGTGATGCGGCTAAAGCATATGAGCATGGGACCCCATGCAATGCCACCAAGACAAGACATACATACCATATACCACTCGGTGGTAAGTTAGAAAATTGAAAATTAATGTATGGAAAGTCATCTCCCATAGAGAAAAAGAGTCATGTGGTCTATGGATGGCTTGCCTGCTTTAATCCATGGACTTGGCAGTGGATATATACCTTTGGCACGTTGGTTATTGCCAAAGGGTATGGAGATCAATGATGATTTTAACTACGTATTATATGCAATAAAAAGTAAAAAAATCTTATGCACTAAATAGTTGGGGGACATTTGTTTACCACTAAAATTCACCTTGTACCACATCGATTAAATACAAGAGATTAAATGGCTTTACAAGGCCAACTTAATTATAAGAGTTAAAATCAATTAAGATGGGCCAAAGGGATTAGATTTTTGGACACATGGCACCCATGCCAAACCCACTCTGCGCGCCACCCTTGCCATCAATTCCAAAATTTGGCTAAGTGTTGGAACCACCCTCCAAGACGTGGCAAGGGGGGTGGACATCATACCGCCACCCCCATGACATGTGAAGGGGGGGGGGGTGATGGCCGAATTCAGCTAAGGCAAGGAGTATCAGAGCCACCCCAGGACGTGGTAAGGGGGGTGGGCATCATACAGCCACCCCCAAGAGGTACCGAGGTCCACCTCCAGGACGAGCCAAGGGGGTGGCCACCATCATA